ACTCTTTCTTTGATGAATTCGAAGGGGTCCCGTTGAGTTCTTCATAATCAGAATATTTTTGTCAGTGAGTCAATAGATAACTTTATTGTATGTTTCAAAAAATTCCATTTCCTTTTTTTAGGATCTTCCCTGTAAGAATAGGGAACTATATACTATATTTAATACTCTATTAAACATAAAAAAGATTCTGTAGAACCAAACCTTTTTGATACTAACAGAATCTTACTAGAAATCTATTTCTAATATAGACTCATGATTAAATTCTTTTTTTGAAGTGAATTAAGAAAGTTGTATTTGCTGAATTCAATTCCCGGTCTTTTTTGTTTGTCCATTCCTTAACTACGTATCGATTTCGACATAAACAAGAAGGAATTGGACTCTAGGAAAAGACAAATTATCCATCCTAGAATCCTGTTTTCCCTTTTTCTACTTTACTTAATATTATCTACCTACCTATTTTTTTAGGTTTAGTATCGAGTCGAATTTCATTCTATTACAATATAAATTCTAATATTTCTATTCTAGGACATGAAAATGTGAAAACAGCGACATAATCAGCGACATAATCATATGGTTCGAATTAATTGTGCAGTTGAAAAAAAACCAAGAACCAAAGGTCTTTACACAGAATTTATCAACAAAAATGGAGTTCTTTTTACCAGCTTAATATGTTGATAAATTGACATTCCTAAAAATTCATTTCAGACAATTGCACCTTCTCAAATTGTTTCTTTTTAAGAACCAAAAAAATTTGTGCCAAAATAATAGATGCCAAGAAGAGCAAGAGACCTTGGACACGTAACGGATCTTGAAGCACTATTTCTGCATCCCCCTGACCAAATCCACCCACATTAGGATTACTCGTTAATGGTTGATCAAGTTTGATAGATTCACCCTCTGAAACAAGAAGTTCTGGTCCTGGCGGTATAATATCAATCACTTCACGTCCATCTGATGCATCTACTATCGTTATTTCGTATCCACCTTTTTCTTTTCGTATTATTTTGTTTACTACACCCGTTGCTGTAGCATTATAAACATTATTATTACTCTTGCTTCCGTCGGGATAAATCTGACCCCTTCCCCTGTTCCCGCCTACGTATATAGGATATTTTAAGAAGTAAACATCTCTCTTAGTAGCGGGATCTGGAGAAAGAATAGGAAAGGTAATTTCACTATATTTTTTTCCAGGAACGGGGCCTATCACAAGAATATTTTTTTTTGTGGGACGATAGCTTTGAAAAGACAAATTACCTATCTTTTCTTTAATCTCGGGCGAAAGACGATCAGGAGGGGCCAATTCAAAACCCTCTGGTAAAATAAGAACAGCTCCCACATTCAAAGCCCCCTTTTTACCATTAGCAAGAACTTGTTTCACTTGCATATCATAAGGAATTCGAACAACTGCTTCAAATACTGTATCGGGAAGTATCGCTTGTGGAACCTCAATATCTACGGGCTTATTAGCTAAATGGCAATTAGCACATACAATCCGGCCGGTAGCTTCTCGAGGATTTTCATAACCTTGTTGGGCAAAAATAGGATATGCATTTGAAATGGGTGCTCGAGTTATTATATATATCATGAGCAATACGGAAATGGATCGGGTAATCTCTTTCTTTATCCAAGAAAAAGCATTTCTAGTTTGCATGGTCCAATCATTGATCCTGAAAATTTCTACAATAAGATTAGGTAGGTTACTGGCACAGTTCCCTATCCATGATTCTGCTATTTACTCCAATTCTTTTCCTATAATATAGGAAGAATACGAGTAAAACGAAAACGAATAAGTTCAATTTTAAATGTTTAGCTTTTCTATACAAAAAACAAATTTTAGAATTGGATCAGTGGGTCGTTTTTTCATTCCTTCATTGAATGATAAATGACTACAAGCGACGGAGATACACGATTTAAATAACGGAAAATAGAATATTTAAAAATAGTATCTAAAATGACTGGAAAAATCGAAACAAGACAAGATAGAATCTGATCATTCGGAGTAAATCCAAAATCTTTATAGACAGACCCAATCATTAGTTCCCAACCCTGAGTCGAATGGAATCCTATACAAAAATCAGTTAATAAAAGAATAGAAAAAGCTTTTATTGTGTCACTTAAGTTATATAGAAATTCTTGAACCCAAGAGTTAAGAATAATGAGTTCTTGATTACCTCGAATAGAATAACCACTTAGAATAAGGAAACAGATTATATTTGTACAGAAATGGAAAATCGTATGGATACGATCTAGGTTGTTCGTCTCGATCAATTGGATGGTCTCTTTGTAGATTTCGATACGAAGGTTTTGTAAACGTGTTTCCGGGTATTCCTTTAGCATTTCATCCAAGAGGAACAGTTCCTCGAACTCTAGCAATTTCTTTAAAATACTTTTTTCTTGAATAGTATTCAAGACAATTTCGGATTCTTTCATATTCCACCAATTAGTAATCCAAGATTCCAGACTTTTCTGAAATGTAAAAGAGATGCACCAGGGCAAAAAGACTATAGATGTAAGACATAGAAGGGGAATGCATGCTTTCTTTTTTGCCATTTTTCGTCTTTAATGAACTCAGTTTCATCTCATTTTTCAACTATATATAATAATAATCTTTCTATCAAGCATAAGTTCTATTACAAGTAAATACAAGTAATAGAGCTTAGCCTAGAATATATCAATTTATAATTTTTTCATAGAAATTGAGAAGCTATTCTTTTTATTTGTAATTCGGAGGTTAGTTTCTTTTTCCTTCAATTTGAAAAAAGAATCCAAAAGAATACAGAAATCAAATAAGAAAACGAAATAAGCCATTGCCAATTTGAATGAAGAAGAAAAAAAGTGTTTCAAAAGCTATGAATTAAAAATGAAATTGTTTGGATACAGCGATTTCCATTGGTATACTCAAGAATATGGAACGATTTCCATTGGTACACTCAAGAATCTGGACAAGTCCCAAGCTTTTTGTATAACGTTGCATGGAGTCCTATCATCAACAGGAGTCAAGGGAATGGTCCCCTGTTCTCTGGTTTGCATATAAAGGACACCACTACTAGGTTCTGGGTTAGCTTGTAGTATGAGGGACTGAATATCTTCCATACGAACTCGGAGAAAAATACGACGATATGTTCCAGGAAATCCGTAACGAAAAAAACATACCATTCGATTTTTTTTATCGAAAAAATTATAGCCACTCCCCACATTCCAAAAAATTAGAAGCCACCAATGTAAACTTAGAAAGAGACCGGCAATTCCATAGAAAGTCAGCGTGACTCCTTGTGTCAAAAAAGGAATGACAAATTCGGACGAAATGAAAGAGAAAAAATCCCTCCCATAATAACTGGAAACTGAAATATATAAAACTCCTAATGAACCTAAAAGAGTGAAAGACGCCCAGAATAAATTGATAATTTTTCGGGACCCCGGTACAATGTCAAGCCATGCGTCTTGTGAACGACAACCAAGTTTTTCTGACCCCCAACTAATGAATTTTGGAACATGAACCAATAAAGCAGACATTACAATTAATACAAGGCCCACTAAAAACACATAAACGTTTATCATAAAATGGGTGCCTCAATTTCATATTTGTACCTGTTCTTTTTTCTTGATTGTTAGATTAATATTTATGTTGTTATATGAAAACCTCCTTATCTTATTAAGGCTTATATAATATTAGTACTTTTCTTTTTTTTTTATTGAAGGCAATAGTTATTCAAAAATGGAACAAAAGAACAAATCCAAACTAAAAAATTTAACCCTATTTTCAAAAATATATGAAACTTGTGGTATCTAAAAAATATTGTTTTTTTGAACATGAAGAAATAAAGAAACCATTGCAACTGCCGGAAATACTAGGCCTACTAAAGGAACAAAAAGGGATGGTAAGTTTATCATAAAATGGGGTACCTCAATTTCATATTTGTACCTGTTCTTTTTTGTTGATTGTTAGATTAATATTTGGATTCTTCTTATATTGGAATAAAGAAAGTCTATAATCACTAGAATTCATATAGACTTATACTAAGTCTATTTTTTTAATTCTACTATGTAGAGCTAAATAAATAGATATGAATATATATATATATTCTATATGGAGTATATAAAGAGAATAAACCCATAAGAAAAAAATGGAATAAGATTTATTAAGAATCAAAATCGTTAATTTTAATAATTTGAATATTAAATTAAATATAAGGAATGTCGAACGAAATAACTGGATTTATTTTGCTGTCTATTTCTACAAGAAATATGTCCATGATAATTAATCTTTATTTTTTATTCTTATCTTATTACTTTACTCTTGTGTGTTCTCATTTTCTTTTTATATCATTTTTATATAATAAGAAGATTTCTTTATGATATTCATTTTATGATATTAATGAAAAGTTAAAAATTGAAAAACATAAATAAAATGATAGTCTGCATTAGTTTTCATTTTCAATCCAAGGAAAGCAACCATGGAATTCAAATAACTCACTTAAAAAGTCCTTTAAAGAATCACGTGATACGATTGCATCCAATAAGCCTTTTTCGAAAAAAACTTCAGCCGATTGGGAACCTTCAGGCACTTCCTTATTCAACGTTTGTTCAATTACTCTTTTACCCGCAAATGCAAGGTAAGCTTTTGGTTCGGCAATAATGATATCCCCCAACATCCCAAAACTAGCTGTTACCCCACCAGTAGTAGGCGATGTAAGTATCGCTACATAGAGTACTTTTGATTGATTTGATAATTATATAAAGCAGAAGATATTTTAGCCATTTGCATTAAGCTCAAACTTCCTTCTTGCATACGCGCTCCTCCGGACGCACATACTATAATAAGAGGTAAAAGTTGATTGGTAGCATATTCGATCAACCGAGTTATTTTCTCACCCACTACGGATCCCATACTACCCCCCAGAAACTGAAAATCCATAATACCTATTGCTACAGGAATACCATTTAGTTGACCTGTGCCTGTTTGAACCGCCTCCAGTAATCCTGTACTTTCTTGATAAAAATCAAGACGATCTATATAAGGTTCGTCTTCCGTAGAAGAGTCGTATTCGTCTTCCGTAGAAGGTTCGTCTTCCGGAGAAGATTCGTCTTCCGGAGAAGATTCGTCTTCCGGAGAAGATTCGTCTTCCGGAGAAGATTCGTCTTCCGTATAAGGTTTGTCTTCCGTCGAAGGTTCGTTAGAAGGTTTGTCTTCCGTCGAAGGTTCGTTAGAAGGTTTGTCTTCCGTCGAAGGTTCGTTAGAAGGTTTGTCTTCCGTAGAAGGTTCGTTAGAAGGTTTGTCTTCCGTAGAAGATTCGTATTCGTCTTCCGTAGAAGAGTCGTATTCGTCTTCCGTAGAAGGTTCGTCTTCCGTATAAGGTTTGTCCCATTCAATGGGATCCAGAGAAAACATGTCTTCATCCATAGGATTCCAAGTACCTGGATCAATCGAAAGTTCGATTCTATCTGAACTGCTCATTTTCAAATGATCTCCACAGTGTTCGCAAATATTCATTTTGGATTTAAAAAATTTCTTATAATTTAATCCAAAGCAACTTTCGCATTCAACCCATAAATGCTTAAATTTTTCAGTATAAGAAGTATCTTTTGGATCATCAGGATATTGGAGTAAATTTACTATTATTTGTATCATTAGAATATTCTATTGGAGTAAAATCACTATCATTTGTATCATTAGAATTTTCTATTTCATACAATCATACAAATCACTATCATTTGTATCATCTAAAATGTAACTATTCAAGTCACTGATATTGGCATTGTAGTTGTCACTATCATCTAAATAACGAAGATAACTCTCAATCCAACTATGAATGTCATTATCCATATCAGTTAAAATAGATGGGTCATCAGTTAAAATAGATGAGTCATCAGTTAAAATAGATGGGTCATCAGTTAAAATATATGGGTCATCAGTTAAAATAGATGGGTCTTCATTTACACCGTTATTTTCAATAGGATAAAAACTATCTTCAATAGGATCAAAACTATCTAGGGATTTACTTAAACCACACCTATATTCTAAATCCCTATTAAACAGCAACATTGGATTGAACCACTTTAAAATACAATAGATGAATAGTCATTCGATGATCATTTTTTATCGACTTAAGTATAGAAATAGAATTGCGAGGATTAATAACTTATAATAATAATGAGCGAAGAAGTATTGAACAAATGTATCATTTATATTTGAATATCAAATCAATAACTATTTCTAATATAAAAATGAATGAATAGAATAAAAACAAAGAAGTAAAAAGGCTCATTTGGTCTACGGTATTTATGCACCAAATTAGTTTATTTCTTGACTTTTTCCTAATATGAGGTAGGTTGAGCACCGAATTTTGGAATAAATAGATCACTCAAATCGAAAAATCGAGGATCCCTATTTCTAGATACTAGAAACTAGATAGTATAAAGAAAATAGGGCATGTAAGACTCCGCAGCTAATATAGTCACGTTTTTCAAGTCCCACGCTGCTTTTTACTACATCGTTTCAAACGAGGTTTTACCATAACATTATTTTTTAGTTTCAATCTGGTATGTAATTGATTCCATTTTGAAATCGTGCATAGTCATTGACTCAATCAATAGATAATAATATATACTTTTCACTTCTAGGTTTTAGGTTTTCTGACTATACAATTTTATTTCTAAAGTCAAGAAGTCGAAATTAAGTCAATATTCTATTTTCATGGTTTGTAAATTAAATATAAAAAAATCAATTTCTAAAAAAAAAAAAAGGAATCTTTATTCGGATATACAATTTGTATTGAAATAGGTATATATCTTGAATAGATATGATCTGGGACGGAAGGATTCGAACCTCCGAATAACGGGATCAAAACCCGCTGCCTTACCGCTTGGCCACGCCCCATTTTGATTCGACATAAATAGTATTATGAGTTGTTCGTAAATTACACTTCGAAATTTATTCTATAGAATAAATTGTTGCTAGAATTTTGATATGTATCGATATCGAATTAAACGAAATTTATTGATCATTCCATAGAATTCAATTAAGATATTGTTTGAACTTATTCAGTTCAAATCAAAAAAAGTGGGGGTCTGATCTTAGTTGATTCATCTTTTTTTTTCGTTTTATTACTGATTTAGTAATCTTCATATCTATAAATAGGAATTCAATATTTTATATTCTATCCTTTTAGATTTTCAAATTATTCATTTTCTATTCTATATATTCTCTATTCTATCTAAATAAAATCAAAAAATTTTGATTTTATATTTCATTGTTAATATAAAAGTATAATACAAAAATGGATAATAATAATAATAAATTATATAATAAATCATATCATATATAGAATAAATCATATCATATATAGAATAAATCATCTATATAATAATAAAAAAAATACAATCAAAATTAGAATTAAAAACAAAAGAAAAAAGACAATTCATTTTCTTAAAGAAAAACATTTTTGTTATGCTTAATATCTTTAGCTCGGTCTGTATTTGTATTCACTCTGCCCTTTATTCAAGTAGTTTTTTCTTGGGGAAATTACCAGAAGCTTACGCTTTTTTGAATCCAATTGTAGATTTTATGCCAGTAATACCCTTACTCTTTTTTCTCTTAGCTTTTGTTTGGCAAGCTGCTGTAAGTTTTCGATAAGATCTTTAATTTGAATAATGTCCGAAAAAAAAGTCAGAATTTATTAGAAAACTCAAATTTTAACATTTTTAAAAATAAGATAAGTCTTACAGTGTGAATCCGTGATTATAAATCTTGAAATTGTTGGATAGACAATAAAAATATGGATCATCTCATCATTTCCTTTTTTTCCATTCAAAAATAAAAATTATATTATTCTATTATTCGATTTGAGTCTACCACCAATACGTGGATCTTGTGGATATGAAAGAAAATTGAATTGTTGGTAATGGTAAAACAAAGGCTCAACTCTTACTACAAATCAATTTTTTTAGTTTTTTTGAAATAACTTCATTTCTTATAAACTGAGTATCAAAGGAAACATAATATGAAATACAAGAGAATCTATTCTCTTTCTCTGTCGTTTTTTTTTTTTTATTATCTTGGAGATTTTGTAATGCTTACTCTAAAACTATTTGTTTACACAATAGTGATATTCTTTGTTTCTCTTTTCATCTTCGGATTCCTATCTAATGATCCAGGACGTAATCCTGGACGTGAAGAATAAGAAAATCTTTGTTCTTTTCCGTACTTATGCTGGATTTTTAAATATTTTTCGTTTTTCTATCTATTTTACATCTTTAACTAGTAAAAAATGAAACAAACAGGGAATAAAAAAAAAAAGAAATTCCAGAAGTTCAAAAGAAAAAAATGCCAAATCATCAATAAACGGAAAGAGAGGGATTCGAACCCTCGGTACAAAAATTCGTACAACGGATTAGCAATCCGACGCTTTAGTCCACTCAGCCATCTCTCCCCAATTCAAAAAATTGAATTATTATGCTTATGATACCTCGGATAAACAAAAAGAACAAAAAGTAGGGCTCAAAAAAGCCTTCTATATATCTTATTTGATATTGATCGTCATTTGATATATCTTATCTATCTATCTTTTTTCTATTTGATTATCATTTTATTTAATTACTATTCATAATTCTATATTAACTCATAAATATTAGTTATATTTTCTTATACCTATACTAAAGTTATATTCTATATATACGCAATATAAAATTTTTTCTTTTCTTTTTTTTTTAGTTTGTTTTTTTATCCAACCAGAGTCCAGCTAGGTACTGGCACGGCTCTTTTTTCCCATGAATCACAATGATTTATTTTTCTGTATCAGATTTGAAAGAAACTTGTAATTAAGGAAAACATTTTAATACGATCAAACAAAAATAAAAATAACTTTTTGATCGTATATCATACGAATTAATCAGTTAACGTATCTAAAAAAAGAAATAGAACTATGGATTCTTGCACAATGCATTTTTGTCTTATGAATTTCGTTTAGTAATTTTGTCGAGATCTATCTGTCAAAATACCTTCAACAAAATCCAAAAATGAGATTCGCCCCCTTTTCTAAATTTCATTAGGGGGCCCTTTACGAAACATGTGAACACTGTATTTATCATAAAATTCTGCACCTATTTCATAATTAGGACTGATTCCCCTTCCTGTATTGATATTGACAAAAGATCTTTTTATATACAATAATAGTATTGTAGCGGGTATAGTTTAGTGGTAAAAGTGCGATTCGTTCTATCGACCCCTTAATAGTAATAGTTAAGGGGTCCCTTCCGTGATTCATATCACGATCAAAAACTTTATTTCTTACTTAAAGGTATTTAATCCTTTATACCTCTCAAGGAGCAATTCGAGGAATAATATACATTATCATAATTTGTATACAATTTAGAATTGATTCTAAAATTATGAAACATAAGTTTTTGCAATTGGATCCAGAATCCCAATTTTTGAATATAAGTAAAGGATCCAGGGAGAAAGATATATAAAATTCGTTTCCAATCGTAACTAAATCTTCCAATTTTTTTATTATTTGTTTTGTATAGGAGAGATTGAAGCAAAATAGCTATGAAATGATTTTTTTAGTTTACTAGAAACATCAACATATTTTTTTAGCTCGACGGAAATTTTATTCTTTTCCTAAAGATTCTCTCAAATAGAAATAGAGAACGAAGTAACTAGAAAAAAAGAGATTGTTCGAATACTCCTTTTCTATAGGGATCATCTAAAAAGCAACGTTAATTGTATTCATACCGAAAGGCTGACATAGATGTTATGGATTCTTTTTTTCATGTATTCCATCTATCTCTTAAATTATTCTGTAAAGGAGCTGAATGAAACAAAAGTTTCACGTTCAGTTTTGAATTAGAGACGTTCATTCATAAACGTCGACTATAACCCTTAGCCTTCCAAGCTAACGATGCGGGTTCGATTCCCGCTACCCGCTTATATTCTATTTTTTATTTAGTAAATTTCTTCATTTAGTTTTAGTATAGAATTCTTTTTTCTTTCCCTTTTCACGAAATTTTCGTGAAAAGGGAAAGAAAAAAAGAAAAGCGTCCATTGTCTAATGGATAGGACAGAGGTCTTCTAAATCTTTGGTATAGGTTCGAATCCTATTGGACGCAAATTGATTACATATTGAATTGATTGCAATTGCATATATATTAATTGAATTCGTATATTTATAAAAATATATTGTGAATTTATTATCTTTATGATTCTTTTTTTTAAGAGACTAATGATAGAAATTTTTTAACGGTATGAAAATTTTAATCAATTTTTTTCTACTTGTTCCTGAAGTAAAAAGAGTTCCATCTGTTCCTGAATAGCTTCCTTCAAAATGGCTTCTGCTTCCCCAGTGAATGTCTTGGTAGAAGATATGATTTCGTTGAATTTAGGTTTATTCGTTTTTAAATAAGCCCGGAACTCAAGGAGAAATTTCCTTACCTGTTCAATTTCTAATGAATCAAGATAACCGTTCGTTCCAGTATAAATAGTTATTATCTGTTCTTCCACAGTAAGAGGAGCTGATTGGGATTGTTTAAGCAACTCGCGCAATCGTTGACCTCTTGCCAATTGATTTTGCGTGGCTTTATCGAGATCTGAAGAGAATTGTGCAAAAGCTTCTAATTCTGCGAATTGTGCCAATTCCAATTTTAATTTACCAGCTACTTGTTTCATGGCTTTTATTTGAGCCGCCGATCCAACTCTGGAAACGGAAATACCCACATTAATTGCGGGTCTGATCCCAGCATTGAATAAATCGGCAGATAAGAATATTTGGCCGTCTGTAATAGAAATTACATTAGTAGGAATATAAGCTGAAACATCTCCTGATTGGGTCTCAACTATTGGTAAAGCAGTCATACTTCCTTCACCTAACTGAGAACTTAATTTAGCGGCTCTTTCCAAAAGACGCGAATGTAAATAAAAAACATCTCCGGGATAAGCTTCGCGACCTGGTGGTCTTCGTAATAGAAGAGACATTTGGCGATAAGCCTGTGCTTGTTTGGAGGGATCATCATAAATGATTAAAGTGTGGCGTTCACGGTACATAAAATATTCAGCCAGAGCTGCTCCTGTATAAGGCGCGAGGTATTGTAATGTAGCTGGGGAATTTGCTGTTTCAGCCACTATAATAGTGTATTCCATTGCTCCTCTTTCTTGTAAAGAAGTTACGACTTGAGCCACAGAAGATGCTTTTTGACCAATAGCTACATAAACACATACTACATTTTGTCCCTGTTGATTGAGAATCGTATCTGTAGCTACTGCTGTTTTACCAGTTTGTCTGTCCCCAATAATCAATTCTCGCTGGCCACGCCCTATAGGGATCATAGAATCAATAGCAATAAGTCCCGTTTGAAGGGGCTCATACACGGACCGTCTGGAAATAATACCGGGAGCGGGAGATTCGATTAACCGAGATTCCGAAGCTGAAATTTCTCCTCGACCGTCAATAGGTTTAGCTAGGGCATTTACAACACGACCCAAATAACCCTCACTTACCGGTATCTGAGCAATTCTTCCTGTTGCTTTTACGGAACTTCCCTCTTGTATCATCAAACCATCACCCATTAATACAACACCAACATTTTTTGATTCCAAATTCAAAGCAATGCCTACTGTACTTTCTTCAAATTCTACTAATTCACCCGCCATTACTTCATCAAGACCATAAATACGAGCAATGCCATCGCCTACTTGAAGTACGGTACCTGTATTTACAATTTTTACTTCGGTATTATATTGCTCAATACGTTCACGGATAATTTTACTAATTTCATCTGCACGAATGGTTACCATGAATATTTCTGAATTTGATTCTTTTTCGAAGAAAAACAAAAAGAAGGCCTGCCTGCCTATACTCTCAATTATAGTAGAACAACTAATCAGTTATTTTTTTCTTTCATCGCCCCAAACATACCAATATTAGCACTGATCGTACGTAAATGTAACTCGTTGTTTAAGCAACTATTCAAAGTTCCCAGAGCTCCTTGTAATGCTTGTTGTAAAACCCTTTGTTGCACTTGATTAATTGCCCTTTGTTGTTCAAAATGAATGGTTTCATTTTTGTAATTTTCGAATTGTTCCAAAGTTGTATAAATTGAATTAATTAAATTCAATTTTTCTCGTTCTATCTCGGAATAACCATTCACTCGAAACCGATCTGCTTCCATTTCTACTTTCCTTAAACGGGACCGGGCTTTTTCCAGCTGTTCAATGGCTGTTTCCCGTAGTTCTTCTGAATTTCGAATAGTTCTCAAGATTCTCTGTTTTCGATTATCTAATAAATCACTTAATGAAAGTAGATTCTCTTTCCATTCATTTCAAAATGTCTATGATCTCTTCCCGAACCAAACATGAATCTTTCAATTCATTTGGCTCTCACACTCAATTCCTTATAGGAAATTTCCCCATATTTATTATGGAATGAGCCTATCCTCTTTTCTCTATTTCGAAAAATCTTGAAAATGATTATCAATACAAGACCCCAATATTTGGAGGACTCTTCTGACCAAACAAATAATTGTCAGCAAAGTTGTTTTTTTTTTTCTTGAAATCCAAAGAATTCTCATTAATTTATACGTAGGTCATCAATTCTGCATTGTAGAAAAGTAGAAACGGAGGCGTTAAACACAACACCTTTTTCCTATTTTTCATCCATCATAAAGAGAATTCAAGTCAGTTTTTCGACATGAGTGTTCTATATCGAAAAAATTCGAATTTCACTATTAACATAGTGGTAGAAAGAATACTAGACTGCGTCGAAACTTCAAACTGGTTAGCTTTAACCATGGTAATGTTCCAAAATTCTTGGTTGATAGAGAATCAAAGTAGATTTCCCAATGAATCGCGAAATGCTATGGTTCTTAACTATTTTTTTTTCGTTATTTTGTAAGAAGTCATTCGCCGGATCATGCACATTTTCCTAGTTATAACAAAAAAAGTGCAGTTGGTTGTATCCAATCTATTCTTTGAAATAAACAACTCGCACACACTCCCTTTCCAAAAAAAATCAATACACCTAGCACTGCACTTAGATTTATTAGATTTGTTGCTAAAATATCGGTATCAAACCCGAAACTTCCGGCGGATGGCCAGTAAATGAAGCAAAGAAAAGAATCGGTTATATTTTTCATATGATCGCATCTCCTCTTATGGATAGACAAAATTTCTTTTTACGATTCCAAGTTTTTTTTATTTGTTTATGATAGTTTATTCTATAATCTAATTTTTTAATTATTTAATATGAATATATCAAATTAGTATATTTTTATTCTTACTAAAATGAGTATATTAGTAAGAATAAAAATATACTAAAATTGGTTAGTCAATTGAAAGAGTCCCTATAAGAATGATACTTCTTAGAAGGAAATACTAGTTCTTATGTCAATTGCAAAATACTTAGTTGGTTTCAACACTTTCTAAATCAAAATTAAGGGGTCAGTGGACTAAAAAAAGGGACGGAAGAAGGCGAATCAGTATGTTAATCCGAATGAAGAAAAAATTGTAGGAGTAAAATCTAAATAGAATGAAAAAAAAAGCAAGAGCAGCAACGAAAGTCCATGGAAAAAACAAGATGTATTTTTTTTATTAAACAAAAGGATTGGCAAATAAAAGAGCTAATGCTACAACCAGCCCATAAATAGTTAAAGCTTCCATAAAAGCCAGACTAAGTAATAAAGTACCCCGTATTTTGTCCTCTGCTTCCGGTTGTCTCGCAATCCCTTCTACAGCTTGCCCTGCAGCTGTGCCTTGACCAACTCCAGGTCCAATAGAAGCAAGCCCGACGGCCAACCCAGCAGCGATAACAGAAGCAGCAGCAATCAGTGGATTCATGATAAGTTTCTCCTATTCCAAAGAAAATAAAAAAATAGTTAATAATATAATCAACAAAAAATTTATGACTTAATTATTTCATTCTTCATATTTCTCTTTATCTAGTCGAAGTGTAATTCAAAATTTCAAACTTAATAATTTTTATTGAATTATCCCAATTACTTCGATATTCACTTTTTTCGTTTCTACCCTTGTAGTTTTTTGTGAATACATACAATTTTTGGTCTTATCTTACATTTTAAACTTTTTTTTTCTTTGATTTCATTTTTTTAGTCATTTTTTTATATTCAATTCAGAATTACAAGAGATGGAATCTTTTTTTTGAATCCCTACCTAAATTTAGAGTAGTAGCAGAACAAATTTAGATAGATCGTCATATATAACTAATGAATATCTACTATGACATATACATGTGTTTGTTCCATACCGTAAACCAATGAGTTGTATCTTAGATTCAATCAATCATTCTTGGAAATCCCCCAGCTGTCTTATAACGATTAGATTATATATACACCTAGTTTGACCCCCTCAACCTTTGTTAATTTATTTAATCTCTATTTTTTTTTTTACAATTCCCTGGTAATTGTTTTAATTTTCTTTCTACTTTTTGATTGTTATTAAACCTTTTTAAAATTTCTTTGTATTTTTTTATTAATATTCCTTAAGTATATTATCGCGAGCCACACATACTTTGTTGCGGGCTAAAACACGATTTTGATAACTAGTCAATGATGCCCTTCCATGGATTCACCTATATACGCCGCAGCTAAAGTAGCGAAAATAAGAGCTTGAATACCACTTGTAAATAATCCAAGGAACATAACAGGTATAGGAACTACTAAAGGTACTAACGAAACAAGAACAACAACTACTAATTCATCCGCTAATATATTTCCAAAAAGTCGAAAACTAAGCGATAAGGGTTTTGTGAAATCTTCTAAGATGTTAATCGGTAAAAGGATTGGCGTTGGTTGGATGTATTTACCAAAATAGGCCAATCCCTTTTTTGAAATACCCGCATAGAAATAGGCTACTGACGTAAGTAAAGCTAATGCAACAGTAGTATTTATATCATTTGTGGGTGCAGCTAACTCTCCATGAGGTAACTTTATAATTTTCCAAGGCAAAAGGGCCCCTGACCAATTCGAAACAAAAATAAATAGAAACAGAGTTCCAATAAACGGAACCCATGGACCATATTCTTCTCCAATCTGAGTTTTGCTCACGTCTCGAATGAATTCAAGGACTATTCAAAAAAATTCTGACCAGACGTGGGAATAGTTTGCGGATTTCTAACAACTAGAATGGTTGAAATTAATAAGATAGCAATTACAACCCAAGAGGTAATAAGTACTTGAGCATGCACTTGAAAATCCCCTATTTGCCAATAGAAATGTTGACCTACTTCCACAGCAGATATATCATAGAATCTGTTTAATGTGTTGATGTAACATAATAGAACATTCATATTGCCCTGTCCTCTAAAATAAAAAAATATACCTTGAAAGGGAATTATTTTGATTCAACCATTTCCTTATTTTACTTTGATTTTCTATTTTGAATACCTAACTAATCACAAAATATTTCTTTTTACACAATTTTGTAATGCTATAATAACCAATTCCAAAAATCTATGACCGCACGCCCAACCAAATCGAAAAATTGATTTATCTTATTATTAATCAATTTTTTTGTATATAGCTAGAACGACCCTCACAAATTGCAAAAACTAATTTGTTAAGAATTAATCCGATGGAAGCTATAGCATCATCATTAGCCGGAATCGAAATATCTGCAAGATCTGGGTCAGAATTTGTATCAATTAAAGAAATCGTTGGAATTCCCAAAGTGATACATTCTTGAAGAGCCGTATATTCTTCTTGCTGATCAAGGATTATTACAATATCAGGTAATCTTGTCATATATTTTATACCGCCTAGATATCTTTCCAAATGAGATAATTGTCTCTTCAACATAGTGGCATCTCTTTTTGGAAGAGAGTTCAGTTTCCCCGTCTTTTGCTCCGTTCTCAAGTCCCTGAACTCACGAAGTCTCGTTTCTGTAGTATACCAATTCGTTAACATACCTCTGAGCCATTTTTTATTAACATAATGACATCGAGCTCTTATTGCAGCCCGTGTTACTGAATCGGCTGCTTTTTTTTTTGTACCAACAATTAAAAATTGTTTTCCTGTGCTTGCTGCATCAAAAGCCAAATCACAAGCTTCTGATAAAAAACGAGCAGTTTTAGTAAGATTTGTAATATGAATACCTTTACGTTTTCCCGATATAAAAGGTGCCATTCGAGGATTCCAGTTCCTAGGCTCATGGCCAAAATGAACCCCAGCTTCCATCATCTCTTCAAAAGTGATGTTCCAATATCTTTTTGTCATTTATCCCCACACTTTTTTAAAAAAAAAAAAATTGAAAAAAAATAAAGAGAGACCCAGTATCCTGAAATAGCAATAAATAATTGTTCCGATGGAACCTTCTCTTTTATAGACGATTGGCCGTTAAGATAGAATCAGGCCATTCTTTTATTTCTATTTATTATTATTTTTTATTCTACTTTATTACCAAATCAAATGACTGCATTTAAAGATTTTAAGGGGCTGAGTCGAATCCGCTTTTAGGAACCATTTAATCCTATATTTCTAATAATGTATCACATAAATTCTTTGAAATGATAAAAATCAAAGAATTTTCTGTGATGGAACAAAAGATTTCTAATTTCTACTTCGAATAATTTTTTTTTCCGGGTAATCTTGTTATGTTGCCTTGACCGTGAACGGTGCATTATTCTTTTGAATCCGGTACCAACGGGTATCATCCCCCCTAAAACAACATTCTCTTTAAGACCTTTCAACCAATCAATACGACCCCGAAGAGCGGCTTTTGCTAAAACTCTAGCAGTTTCTTGAAAACTCGCTTCAGATATGAAACTTTGAGTATTCAGAGATGTTTTTGTTATTCCCAATAATAAAGCTCGGTAACAAATGGGTTCTTCCAAGGCACGCCCCATTCGTTCTGCTCGCAATAATCCAATTAGTTCGCCAGGTAAAAATACATTAGACATTCCATCTTCTGAAACCAAGACTTTGGATGTTATTTGACGCACAATAATCTCGATATGTCTATTATGGATATGTACTCCCTGGGATCGATAAACCTTTTGGATTTTATTAACCAAAGAAATACGACTTTGCGCTATAGTTAGCTCAGCACCAATCAAGAATCCCCAAGGCATGCCGAGAATTTTTGTTATACACTCGTTCCAAGCATCAATTCTTTTTTCTAGATTCATGGATATTGAATCAATCGAACGTATTTCTAATATCTGTTCCACTTTTGGAAGACCTTGTGTTATATCACCGGATCTCGATTTTTCATATATGAATGTAACTAAAATATCTCCTTGAGAAAGGATCTCCCCATAATGGCCGTGAATGGTTGCTTCTGGAGTCGCCAAATAAGGATTAGCCAATCTTATTATTACAGAATCCATTTGAACTGTTATAACTTGACCCGATTTTAGTTTTAGGTGTGGTCCATTTTTCATTTTAGCTATACATATATTTTCACAAATCAATTGTCCAAGACTTATTATTGTAAACGTTTTTTCACAATAAAAATGATGGAGAAAAAACCAATTCAAATGGAATGGATTCAAAACAATATTACTGTATAGATCGGGTTTAAAAATTTTCTCATTTTCGTCCATTAAATAATATTTAATTACTTGAAAAATTTCAGTGAATTTGTCAAGTTGCAAATTTTTAATGATTGAGATCTTATTATGAGTTATTAAATGATAAAGTGAATAAAAATTCGCAACTTGAAGGGCTATTCCTAAAGGGCCGAACGAATTATTATTATTAATTGAAATTATAGGATCTTTTTTTATTCCATTGTGATATTTTACATTGTTGAATGGTCTCATTTGAAAACAATTAGATGATGACAAAATTATCCAAGATCGGCATTCTTTCTTTTTATTCAACAACATACGAATAGTTCCGTGATTTTGGCTAAGTGATTGTTGAATTTTTCCCTTGGAATGAATAGAAAAAAAGGGATTGATTCGATCCGATTGATTATCCCTGATCAATCCTAAACCAGACGGGTCATTTCTTTTTCTAATATATGAAGTATTAGATTTGACTAAGTCAATTCTTAGAAAATACTCAATCAAACCATTTGTACTTACTTCAATAAAGGAAGCGGGGGCCTCCTCAATAGAAGAACTTTTTTTCCCGTGATCCCAATTGAAGACTAAACAAGTCCGAACTAATTGAATCCTTGTGTCGGAAATTCCCCGAATGGATTTTCCATTTCCATAAAGAATATAATTGACAACTTTTAGTTCCAGATTATCCTTTTCCTGGAATAGATCTTGGGGAAAAAGTTTTACAAAATTGATACTGTCCGGTATTTCATATAAAATTACAGGTCGAACCAAAACAAAATACTTTTTCTTGGTAGTTGCGATCCATTGGACATAAATCCAATTTTTAAATTTTTTTGATTCCTTGCATTTTTTTTTTTTTACCGTTCCGGGCGGTCTCAAGATGGCACTGTGTCGGGATATCTTATCCATCTCTCCGGGAAAATGGATATTTCCAGAAAATATTTTTAATTCTATTTTTTTTTTTTTCTTTTCTAATCGGACCAATCCGCCTACTCGACTTCTTATATTGAAAGTGATTGGTGTTCCTATTCCAACAAGACTATTATTCCGTACCATTAGGGAAGAAGATTCGGGTAAAATATGCACTTCTTCGGGAATAAAAAAAATTTTATCTACTTGAATTTGGTATTTTGGCTTTACTTCTTCGATTCCTTGATACTCACTGAAATCTTCTTTTTGAAAAATAGAATGAATTCCTATAGTTGTATATTTAGTAATTCCTGAACTCTGTCTTATGTATTGAGGATCATTGAAATAAGCAAAAATACTATTTTCATGAAAAATACCATTGATAGGTATTTCAATGGAGACACCGGAAGGGGACATTAGTTCGTTCTTTCGTTCTTGAATCGATTGGAATGGAAATGGAATAAGAAATCTATTTCTTCGCCTTTTCGCCAAGAAATAAAAAGTATCGTTCAAAATAGCAGGATACATTAAATCAGAATGATCTGTACATATGATTTGATTCAATATTGAAGAATCGCTAATCCACTTTTCTTTTGTACCAAAAGTATTGAATTTATGTTTTACTTGATCATTCCTTTCTAAAAGATTCGAAATATTTGTTTTTCCATTAGAAAGTGAATCCATGGTAACTTGATCTTGATCCTTGCGAAGTAAAAAATGGATTGTATTAGACCTGCACGACTTTCCTGACAATATCCATAAATGACTTGTTTTTGGTAAGATATGTACATTACTATATATAAATTGTGATGTATGGTACACATCGGTACTCCAATGCATTTCCCCTTCTGAGTCAGAATAAATATGTTTTTGAACCCTCTCTTTCAAATTTAAAGTAGATGTTCCCGCGCGGATCTCCGCAATCACTTGTTCTGATTTTACATATTGATTATTTTGAACTAATAGAAAACTTTTTGGTGGAATAATGACGTTATGTATAATATCGTCACTTTCAATAGTTACATAGAAGTCTATATTACATATAAAAGCAGGATATCCATGACGTGTCCGTGTAGGGTGAACTAAATCCTCATTAAATTTTATTTTTCCATTCGAGGGGGCTCGCACATATTCAGCAGTACCCCCTGTGAATACTCCACCAGTATGAAAAGTTCTTAATGTTAGTTGAGTTCCCGGTTCTCCAATAGATTGACCAGCAATAATCCCTACAGCTTCTCCCAATTCTACCAGGTCCCCATGAATAGGACTCCGCCCATAACACAATCGGCAGATCCAAGACGTATTCCTACAGGTAAAGGGGGTTCGAATAAATATTGGTTGTGTTTGAAAAGTTATGAATCGATTGATAAGTCCAATTCCAATATCTTGATTTCTAACGACAATGCACCGTGAACCTATATATATATCGTCTGCTACTACACGACCAATTAATGTTTGTATCAAAATTCTTTCTGGCATCATTCCATTTCGGGTGTTTACATAAATCCCACGGATGGTACCGCAATCTGTTCGCCGTACAACAATGTGTTGAACCACTTCAACAAGTCGACGTGTAAGATATCCAGCATCTGATGTTCGTACAGCAGTATCTACAACCCCTTTACGGGCTCCGTAGCAAGAAATTATATATTCTGTTAAAGACAGTCCTTCACGTAAATTGCTTTGAATGGGTAAATCAATCATTTGTCCTTGTGGATCTGACATTAATCCTCTCATTCCGACTAATTGGTGCACTTGAGATGCATTTCCTCTAGCTCCTGAAAAAGACATGATATGGACTGGATTAAAGGGGTCAGTCATCCTAAAATTGGAATTCATTTGTTGTCGCAAATATTCGCTTGTAGCATACCATATTTCAATGGATTGGCGTAATTTTTCTACCGCATGGACATTTCCATAATGATTATGTTTTTCCAAAATGGAACTTTGTTGTTCAGCATCTTGGACTAGCCATCCTTTTGAAGGTATTGTTAAAAGATCATCAATTCCTAATGAAATAGATGTAGCAGTAGCTTGATGGAATCCTAGAGTCTTTACTTGATCTAGGATGTGTGATGTATATGCCATTCCGAAATGATCTATTAATCTGCTAATAAGTCGTTTAATGGCAGTTCCACCTATCACGTTATTGTGAAAGACTAGATCGGCCCGTTCTGCCATAAGTACCTCCATATTCCACTCAGTGTTATTCGGTTCGACAATGGATTTGAGTTAATGATTGGAAAACTTCCTTTTCTTTATGTTTATTCACGTAGAAAATTGAAAAGATGCTAGTTGACCTGAATTTACACCAGTATCATAAATTGACTTAGCGTGGATACCAACACTAACCATTTATATGATTAGATACCATATGAATCGGCTCGAGAAAAACCTTGTATAGCTTCTTCGATTTCTCGATAAAAAGAAATATGACCAATAGTGGTTCGAATGTATATACAACGAATTTCTTTTTTTATACTTCTTATTACTAAATAATCCCCATAAATCTCATAATAGGTACCAAAAGATTCATAGTGAACTTCGATAGGAACTTCTCTTGAAGACATAATGCATTGATCTATTCGCCACCGGAGCCAAAAAGGACTATCGAAATTTATTCTTTTCTGTCTATAAGCTCCAATTGCATCATAGGAATTGCAAAAAAAGGGTTCTTTTTTTTTCATATACTTCAAGTTATTATTGCTAATTTTTTCATTGTGAGAATTTCGGGAATTAAACGAATTATACCTGTTTGCACAAATACCTCGACGATTTCCGCTAGTTAATACGTAAAGTCCAATAAGCATATCTTGAGTTGGTACACAAATGGGATCCCCAATAGCCGGAGACAAGAGATTCGTATGAGAAAACATAAGTAAACGAGCTTCTGCTTGAGCCTCCAAAGATAAAGGCACATGAACAGCCATTTGATCCCCATCAAAGTCTGCATTGAATCCCTTACACACCAATGGATGTAAACAAATAGCACGTCCTTCGACTAAAATGGGTTGAAATGCCTGTATGCCCAATCTATGCAAAGTAGGCGCTCTATTCAGCAATACTGGATGCCCCCGCATAACTTCTTGAAGTATTTCCCATACAATGGGTTCTTTTTCCCGGATTTTCCTCTTAGCAACTCCTATGTTCGAAGCAAAATGGTTTTGAATTAAACCACGAATTAGAAACGTCTGAAATAGCTCTATTGCTATTTCGCGGGGCAATCCACATCGATGTAATGAAAGTGATGGACCTACGACAATAACAGAACGCCCCGAATAATCAACTCGTTTTCCAAGAAGAGTCTCTCGAAATCTTCCCTCTTTGCCCTCAATTATATCGGAAAACGATTTGTAAACTTTATTATTACCGTCCCTCATTGGTTGTCCGCGGATTCCATTATCAAGAAGTGTATCCACGGCTTCTTGTACCAATTTTTCTTGACACATTACTAATTCCTCTGGTGTAGATCTACTTGTTGTTAATAGATCAATAAGAGTATTGTTCCGATAGATAACTCTTCTATAGAGTTCATTAATATCCGAACTCATTAGTTTACCGCCATCTATTTGAATAATTGGTCTCAATTCGGGAGGAAGCACTGGTAAGAGACATAATACCATCCATTCTGGTTCTATATTTGTTCGGATAAAATGCTTAGCTAATTCCATGCGTCGAACCAAAAAATTCTTTCTTCTTCCAACTTTTTGATCTTCCCATTCATTTTCATTGTCAGTGGACCCCTCTTCTCCTAATTCTGTCCATTCTAGCAACGAAGAATCCATAATCATTCTTAAATCCAGATCAACTAATTGTTCTCGTATAGCACCCGCTCCACTAGAAATTTCTCTATTTCGAAATGTATCCAAACCTTGAGTAGCAAAAAAGAGTGGGAGACTGTATCTCCAGGATTGGATTTCATAGTCGAATGAACCTCGTAATCGTAAGAAAGTTGGTTTTTTAACTACGGGCCTAGCAAAAGAAAAATTTGGATAGGATCCAATAAGATGGATCTCCCCCTTTGAAAATCGGACATGAGGGTTTCCTCTCATCCGGCTAAAGTATTTACACACAATTAAAGATAAAGAAAGGGGTTTCCGCTTTCATATTTTTGAAAACCTCTAATCTAAAATATAAAATAAAAAAGGTTTACTCTTGACTCAAGTTATCAATAAAGACCAAGCAACATTTCATTGATACATTCTTCGGTTTTTCTGAATTTTTTATGCAATTCGAAATTCCGACAGAAATAAAATGTAAAATTCTTGAGTAGTCTACCTCCCTTCGAACGAGGAATCCTCTAAAATGAAATTCTTAATAAAAAAGGAATATCTTCGACTTCATAAGAGATTTCTTTGTCTCTGTATCATACCGTTTGATCTTTTAGGTCAAGACGTCACCTCGACGGGTATGCCACGATGTCTTAAAGCCTATATGCGATAGATAAACTTCTGCAATCATGATATATTTTATTCTTTGAACATAATTTTAGTTCTTTTAAAATAAAAAAAAAAAAAAGAGATGGAATAATGAATTCCACAAAAAAGTATTTTTTTTTTCACAAGGTACATACAGTATAAAGAGTTTTTTGTTACTGAATTGACCATAGACCAACTCCCTTATTGGGAGTATTCAATACACCCATGAATTGAATTCTGAGCTTCATGTTACTCATCCCAAGAGACATGCCAGATATAGGACATTCCAATTTAATTGAATGGAATGACAGTTTTTCATTCGAAATCTGTACAATAAGAATTTTTATCAAATCACACATCGCAGTATACTAGACCCTCTAATTCTTTAAGAGGTTTATCTAAAAGGCTCGCGATATAACTAGGAAGACGTTTCAAATACCACACATGGGTTACTGGACATGCTAATTTGATATACCCCATTTGATATCTACGTATCCGAGAATCAACAAATTCTACTCCGCATTGTTCACAAAATTGAGGTTGGTCTTTTTTATCTCCGATTACTCGATAATTTCCACAAGCACAAATCCCACTTTTTATAGGCCCAAAAATTCTTTCACAAAATAATCCATCTTTTTCAGGCTTATTGGTTTTATAATGAAGAGTATAGGGTTTTGTTACCTCCCCAACTGTTTCTCCATTAGGTAGGATTTTTTTTGCCCAAGCACTTATTTGTTCAGAGGAAACTGATCCAATTCGAAGGTGTTGATGTTTATACTGATCAATCATAAAATAAAATTTCGGATTCAGTCCAATTAAACTTCCTTCCTTTGAATCTGAAAGTCTTTCTCAGAGACAAGGAAATGATTCAGTTCCAGAGCCAAAGATCGTAGTTCGCGAACGAGCAATCGAAAAGATTCTGGAGCATCCACAGGTTTCGGTATTGTTCCTCCACTAATTGTAGTTCCAAGTACTTCTTGACGAGCTTTAATATGATCAGATTTATAAGTAAGCATCTCTTGTAAAATATGAGCAACACCGAATCCCTCGAGGGCCCAAACTTCCATTTCGCCTACCCGTTGTCCTCCTTGTTTGGCCCTTCCTTTAAGGGGTTGTTGTGTAACAAGTGCATAAGGTCCACTGGAACGTCCTAATTTCAAGATATAAGGCTTTCCTATTATAACGGGCTGTTCAAAAGGATTCCCCGTTCTTCCATCAAATATTCTGCTCTTTCCCGGATACTCGGGTTCAAATATCCATGGATTCGATGTTTCTTTACTGGCCTCATATAATTCAGAAAACACAAGTTTTCTGGAAGCCTCTTGTTCATATCTCTCATCAAAAGGTGCTATTCGATAATGTCTATTTAGCATACTCCCAGCTAATCCGAGCGAACATTCTAATATCTGTCCTACATTCATTCGAGAAGGGACCCCTAATGGATTGAAGACCATATCAACGGGTCTTCCATCTTGCAAATAAGGCATATCCTGTCTAGACAAAATCTTTGAAACGATACCTTTATTTCCATGTCTCCCGGCCACTTTATCACCTACTTTGATTTCACGTTTCTGTGAAATATATATATGAATTGTTTCTGGATTATAGCTAGAATCCGCTTTTTTGTGGAGCCATCTCACATCAATAACTCGGCCCCTACCACCTATAGGTAGTTTTAGACAAGTTTCCTTTGAGGTGGATACCTGAATCCCAAGTATAGCTCGTAATAATCTATCTTCCGGGGCATATGAGGATTCTTTTGCCATTTGAGGCGTTAATTTACCCACTAAAATATCGCCCGTTTCTACCCAAGATCCCAGAATTACAATTCCATTTTTGTCTAAATTTCGGAGTAAATGCGCTTCTAGATGTGGAATTTTATTAGTGATTCTTTCAGGACCATGGCTTGTCACATGAGTCTGAATTTCATATTTCCGTATGTGAAAAGAAGTATAAATATCTTCATAGACCAGACGCTCACTAATGAGTACAGCATCTTCAGAATTGTAACCTTCCCATGGCATATAAGCTACTAATACGTTTTTTCCCAAAGCGAGTTCACCACCAACTGTAGCAGCACCATCTGCTAAAATTTGTCCCTTTTTTACGCATTTACCCTTCTGAACCTGGGATTTTTGATGCATGCAAGTATTTTTGTTGGAACGTTGATATATAATTAATGGAATACTTAGACCATTCCCACTTCCAAATAAAATAATCTTCTCAGTATCATTATAAACGATCTTTCCCTCGTGTTCGGCTATAGCGGGAACTCCCGAATCTAAGGCCACTTGGCGTTCCAATCCAGTTCCAACAATGCACTTTTCGGACCGAGAAAGAGGAACTGCTTGACGTTGCATATTAGAACTCATTAAAGCTCTATTCGCATCATTATGCTCGATAAAAGGAATGAGGGGAAGCTCCAATAGAAAAATATTGGAAGGGAAAAATACTTCGAAGATGAACCTGTTCCCATGCAATAGTAAGAAATTCTTGACGGTATCGAGCTGGAACAATCTGCTCCTCCTGAATACCTCGATTCAGTGCTAAAAAATTTCCCGTCGCTACCATATAGTATTCATCTCTACTTGGTGATAAAGAAAGCATTCGTATTCTTTTTGATCTCTCAGAAATTTCATAAAATGGACTTTCTATAGACCCCCAACGACCAATCCTTGCGTGAATTGCCAAGGATCCAATAAGTCCGACATTGATTCCTTCAGAGGTGTCAATTGGACAAATGCGTCCATAGTGACTAGGATGGATATCCCGTATCCGAAAACTAGCAGTTCGCCCCGTCAATCCTCCAGGACCCAAAGAACTCAATTTCCTTCCATGAACTATTTGGGTCAATGGATTGGTTTGATCTAAAACTTGAGATAATGGATGTAATCCAAAAAAAGATTCATAAGTGGTTGTTAATGGCGTTGAAGTCACTAAATTCTGAGGAGTCGGTATCAATTTATATCTAATTGCTCCACATATAGTTCCTATAATTAGATTTTCTAAACGAACGAGAGCCAATCCAAATTGATCTTGTAAGAGATCTGCTACGGAACGAATACGTTTATTTTTCAAATGATTCATATCGTCAAGTGTACCCATTCCAAATTTCATTCCAATCAAATGATCCGCAGCTGTCAATATATCTCGCGGTAACAAAAATGTATTGTTCTCGGGTATATCAATATTCAGCCTTCGGTTCATATTTCGCCGCCCAATTCCTCCTAATTCACATCTTTGTTGAAAAAATTTTTTTTGTAATTCCGTACATAAAGATTCAGGAAATATGGGATCTCCGCCTACACAAGCAAATTGTCGATAAAACTCCAAAATGGCATTTTCTTTTGACCTTATTTTTTTTTCCTCCTTTTCATTGAGGAAAGACAAGAAAATTTCGGGGTAACAAACGTTCTCAAGAATTTCACTTAAATTCGAACCCATAGCTGATGATAGAACTAGAATAGATATTTTCTGTTTCCTACTTACACGAGCCCATATCCTTGCTTTTCTATCAATTTCTAACTCTAATCTTCCTCCCCAATCTGATATTATTGTGCCAGTATAGACTGAAATTCCGTTATGGTCCAATTCTGACCGATAATAGATACCGGGGCTTTGCAATATTTGATTGATTACAATTCTGTATATTCCATTTACTATAAAAGTTCCCAGGGAATTCATTAGAGGAATGTTTCCAATAAAAATAATTTGTTCTTGGATATCCTGACTGTTTTTCCAAATTACTCCCGCGGATATATATAATTCAGAGGAATATGTAAGTGATTCATATACAGCATCTTTTTCTTTTATTGAGGGTTCTACCAATTGATATGTTTCCGCAAATAACTGAAATTCAATTTCTTGATCTGTATCTTCAATTTTTGGAAACTTCAAAAGTTCTTCTGTTAAGCCCCGATCAATGAATCTACAAAACCCTTCAAATTGTATTTGATTCAATCCCGGTAGTGTAGACATTCCTTCATTCCCAACCCCAAGCATTTTTGATTACCCCTTTTTTATTTTATAGAAAATATCCCATGATTTGCTGTCATTCTTCATCGAATCACATGAATATATTTAGCAATAATGGAATTTATGTTCTTTTTACTTTACTGGAATTTATGTTCTTTTTACTTTACTGAATCACATGAAATTTTACCTCACTACGTCTATGAAATACGCATTATGAAAAGAGGAATTTTGCTACTCAAATTAGAATTTGCAACAAAACAAACAAATAGACTTTTAGTAGAGTATGATATTACATATTCCAATTCGATTGATACCCCAAAAATAAATTCAGGATTTGATTGGCTCCATGAGAGAAAGATTTTAAAAAGAAAATAATCAGAAAAAATATACAATTTTTTTGAGCCCTTTACCATTTCAAGTGTTCAAAAAAGAATGAAAATTAACAAAGAAGAGAGATATTTTGACCCTTTTTTTTTTTTTTAGAATGAGAGGATTGCAGTGCATAAAAAGACTTGGATTTATGAAACATGCATAGATCTAACTTCAGCTATAGCTATCTATATATGTCTATTACGTTATTGCAGTCCTATTTGTTCGGGACATAATATGTTGTGTTCATTTTTTTTCTATTCATTCATCAATCTATTTCATGAAAAATTGGCAAAAAAATGAAAGTACGAGAATTTATTGAAAATTCCCTGTAATCCATAATTACATAGAAAATACCCAATTATATAATGTGTAACAATGAAAAGTGATATTATGGGGTTGACATATATTAACAGTTCCTGTTATAATGGAAATAGATAAAGATTATAAAAAATATATATATATATAATAATATATATAATAATAATATTGATTTGTTATGTATCAATTTCGATTTTTTTCTCATTAAGAAATTCAGATTCCTGAATTCTTCCGGAATTTGTAGTTAACAGTTGCTATTTGTCCCGAAATTTTTACTTTTTTTTTTTTGACTGAAAAGGTATACGTTGGTTTTTTTGAGAGGAGGATATTCTGATCTATTTTTTTGTATCATTTTGGCGGCATGGCCGAGTGGTAAGGCGGGGGACTGCAAATCCTTTTTCCCCAGTTCAAATCCGGGTGTCGCCTGATCGACAAGAGAATCAAAAAGGGTTTCTTCCATTTTGTTGATACAGAAACTTAGTATTTTTTCCATGTGGAAGCAAGTGTAGGGACAGAGTTCTTGAGACTTGTTTGATTCAAAATTCTACGCATCGCTAGATTTGTTCTCTAAAATGCTTTCAAGGATTCAAGGAAAAATGAATTAGAGTAGGGAAATGAAAAGGAATAGATCAATCTTGAAATGAAAGTCTTTTCATTCTACTACTGCTGTAGTGTCCGTCTACTGATTGGGTCTTGAATTAGATTGGATAAGGATAGGTAGGACAGGGAATATAATTCCATTTTTAGTTGGCGAAGGGATTGAAGAAAAACCGTCTATACAAACGTATGTAAAATATATGAACGCTTCTGCATTTTTTCCATATTTGTTAGATTAATGAAATTGAATATCTAATTCGATTTCTTTTTTTTTATTTATTGAATTTTTTTTATTTATTGAATTTCATGATATTCATATTATTTTTTTTTTACTATGAATTTCATTTTCATTTCATCCAATTCAAAAAAAATTCCATTCCATTTGATTTCATTTCCATTCTAAGAAAAAGAAAACTCTTTCTTTTGGGTAATCGATAGTAAAAGAATTTAATAGGCTGTTTTCCAATTGTTTTAGAGAACGAATCGGGATACAATAAGGATTATTAGATCAAATTGAACTAAGAGATGCAAATAAGAGTATGCAAAGGAATCTATCTTGATTCTTTATTTTTTACTTAAATAAAATGAAATGGGGGGGGGGGAAAAAAAAGAAAAATAGGTCTTTGTATTCCAACCTATTAGTATGATTCATTACCTTACTACTTCTAAGGATATTTTTTATTTATGCTGAAAATTTCTCAATTCTACTCCGAATCTGATAAGAACTTGCTAGATGTTCTAATTGGATGTTTCATCAATGGTGTTATGACGGAATGGAATACTTTTTTGACTCTGTACTAGCGATTCCACTATTATTATAAGATATTATCAAATTTTTAGTGAAAAATAAAAACAAAAAGAATACAAAAGAATACAAGAAAAATTAGTAAACAATAAAAAAAGAATTAATAAAAGAATTTCTTCATATTGATATAGATAGGAGACATAATTTACATGGATATAGTAAGTCTTGCTTGGGCTGCTTTAATGGTAGTTTTTACATTTTCCCTTTCCCTTGTAGTATGGGGAAGAAGTGGACTCTAACGGTAATACTCATTGAGTTAAGGGATCAAACTGTCTCAATTGTTTTCTAGCTGGGTTCTTCCAGTTTTGAACTATTTTAGTTATTTTATTAATACTAATTAATGAAAATTATATCTGGATTTAGAAATTCTATTGTATTCCAGTGGTTTACTATATTCCATGTATAAGAAAGAGAATATTGAAAAAAAAACTCTTTGAATCAACCAAATATATTTAATTGTTGCCATTTTGATGTCCCGGGAATACAGATAATTGGGAAACGGATTACTATTCCAAACCAAATTCTTTTTACTATTTCTATTCAATTAAATCAATTTGAATTTTGGAATACTCAAAAGATTATTTCTTTTTATTTATTAGTTACCGGGATTCTGAAAAGAATCTGAAATCAAAAAATGAAAATAACAAGAATAAAAATTGCGTTGCTTTTTAATTATTTCAGATTGATTGGAACCAATACAAATAGAATAGATTTAGATGAAATCAAGAAAAATGTGGACGCCATGGAATTGACATTCCATATCTATAGATAGATATCCATCTATCCATATGAAAACAAAATTCTAGATTGGTTCCTCCATATTAAACCTCTTTTTTTTTTAGTAAAACATTCTAGTTCTACTGTAATAGATAATATAGTAGAAAGAAATAGATTTGATTTCTTTCTACTATACTAGGATTTAATAGAATTCTGCTGGTTGTAGTCTGATCATTTTCTTAAAAAACAAAAGACCCGAAATAGAAATTATTTTTTCATTTTTTTCTTCAATCATTGCATTGATAAGAAATAAGAAGTCATGTTTCAGTAAAATTTAGTCACTTTGACTTACCGTTTTTACATAAATTATAAGTAAAAAGGCAGTAGGAACTAAAATGAAGAGTGCAGTAGCTATAAATGCGAGAATATTTACTTCCATAATCTCTATGTTTTATTTCTCTTTAATTTCTAATAAATACTTCGGGATTTAATCCCATAGAAATGAAAAATCTTTCGTCACTAAATTCAATGGGATAAATTGGATCTCGATGATATCAAATCGGATCAATATCACGAATAACAATATCTGAGCTATCAAATCAATAATTCATGGTCGAGAATTTCATAGTATAACATCGGAAGATGTTTTATCCATACCAAACCAAATAAGAAAATGACTTGCTGATGCAATCAAAAAGTCCTTTTTCTTTCTTTGTCCGAACCTTTCCCTTAAACTAAAAAAGAAAGAAAAAGGGGGATACCTGTTTGAAATGATATTTTTTTAGTTTTATTCCCTTATCATACACGAAATCAATTGATATTTTTTGGATTTGTATCCATCGGGACTGACGGGACTCGAACCCGCAGCTTCCGCCTTGACAGGGCGGTGCTCTGACCAATTGAACTACAATCCCAGGGAAAAAGTCGTCTAGTATACACACATATTCTTACAATTTCATTCTAACTCTTTGTTTTTCTATTTGAGATTCGAGAACGCCTCTTTTAAAGGCGGACTTCTATATATATATATTCATATTTTTATGGGTCTGCGCTTTAGCGACACGGATGACTCGCAATCCGTTCGTTATTGCCAACTTGATTAAAAAATCAATCAAGGAAACAAAAAAGACTATTTTTTTCTTTTTTGACTTGAACCCTTTCCTTCGACTTTATACTTACAGATCCCAATAGGTGTTTTGCAAAATCCGAATTTGTGGAAAAAAATATGTAAGTAATCTGGAAAAAAGACATAGGACTCAAGATTATAATCTTATGTATGCGAACCCATTGGTGATTTTTAGAGAACACCAAATGGGTTATATCATTTCATGGTGGATCCAGAAATATTTTTGGGCCGAGCTGGATTTGAACCAGCGTAGACATATTGCCAACGAATTTACAGTCCGTCCCCATTAACCGCTCGGGCATCGACCCAGGAAGAATTCATTTTAGTCTTTCTTGATAATCCCTCATCCATTTCCTTTCGTAGTACCCTACCCCCAGGGGAAGTCGAATCCCCGTTGCCTCCTTGAAAGAGAGATGTCCTAAACCGCTAGACGATGGGGGCCTCCTTGCCCGATTTCCATTCTACTATGTTCATAGTATGAACAGTTTTTTGAAATTGTCAATATAATGGAATGATATGATTCGATCAAAAGGATCTTCCCATCTTTCAGAATTCCTTACAATTTTTTGATTCATCCTTTTGATTTCTAAATTGTTCATTCCAATCACCAATCTATAGAATTCAACAAAATAGAAAATAAAACGAAGTAATGCGAAAGAAACCAAAATAAACATAGAAGACTTTGTGGA